ACACACACACACACAAAATACTTTGCAAGAGCAGCAGAGTAACATTTCCTAAAAGATGTGCACATAGTGCAAAACTCTCCCTCTGCCCTCTGCACAAGTTAGATAGGGTTGGAAAATAACAGATTATTAAGAGATCCTCGATCCTTAACCCTGCTCCAGAAGTAGAGTAGCAGCAAGGTTTTCCATTATGTTTTATAGCCAATATGTAATCACTGAGCTTTAACTTTGAAATTATAACCAAAGCAACTTCATTATTGTTAACTAAATTCCAGCTGACATGTTAAACATGGCTCTCAGTATGTTTCCTGCCACAAATCTAAAGAAAATACCTGCCCAGATGAAAAACCTTCTCAAAGCAACTGTGAAGAAAACTTTCACAAGCAACCTGTAGGCTATCACATGCCATGATCATTCAAACATACTGTTAAACATAGTTCTCTCCATTTTTCTAAGAGATGTTTTGTTTGAATTTGAATGCACATACAAGCCAAAAACAAAAATCACAATGTAGTTCAAATTCCAATTAAAGAAAAAATGAATGGAATGTAATAGATGAATCAAAGCCCTTCCTGCATGACTGCAAGTAGTTCAGCTACCAAGGTGATGATATATTGCAGGACAAAAACAAGTGTCCTATTTGTAAAGAAAAAATTCTTGGAGACAACAGCTGCTTCTTCAAATAAATGGATGGAAAAATGAATGAACTTTACATTCCTAGTTGGTAGCATATGTCTGACAGTCTTGTACAAACATAAAAAGTATTTTGGAAATCCTGTTTCACCTTATGAAAGATTTATTGGGAGCTACCATGAAAAAAGGATTTCAGTCAAGGTTTCAGCTAACAACTCTTTGATAGAAAACATTACATCAGCAATTCAATTGAAAAACTGCTTCTTGATCTTGGAGATGCTGCTGTCAACTCCAGTCTAACTACAAGCCATAATCATTTAAAAAGACATTGTAGCATGTAATGGAGACCGTATGGAAAAGCTGACAAGTGGATTGAACTTGTCAATCTACCAGCATGAACCAGTGGAATTAGGGGCCTTCAGTTTTTTTTAAATGGTATTGTCAATTGCCTCAGTGTTACAGACAGATATATCAAGTTACCGTAAACAGACTGTTTATAACTTATTAAAACAGAATAGAATATAGACAACAAAACCAAATACCAACACAAAACATGCACCATAAAAAGCATAATTGGCGTTCTGCATGGTTATCACAGGTCATAAACTTGCAGTCTTCTCAAATTTCTGGTTGTGATTAGGCTGAAGATGGAGTGTTTGAGAAGATACTTCCAGATATCACCAGTTTAAATTGATACCATAATCGGAATTAATCTATAAACAATATGCAGCAAAATGCAAAGCAGAATTTAGAATGTGACCATAGGGAGCTTCTGGAGCTACCTGTTCCTGGGGATGTATAAAGTCTTGGGACAGAGAATTTTTTAAGTATTCCCTTGCATTAACTGTATTTATCATTCTTTCTCTCTCCACTTTGCTTTCCCAAAAGATTCTTGCAACCCGTATCTGTGCTATTTTGGAAGAAAATCTGAGTCTGGTTTTCCCACTCAGAGAGCATGAACACCTGCTTGGTAGATAATTAACTATCCTTTCAATTAGACAGCTTCTGTATTGCAAAAAAAAACCTGACCAACTGAAATGCTAGATTCTTAACCACCTTTGCTGTCTAGTAACCTTCTCAAAACTAGAATGGCTATTTTTACGCATTCTATTTAAGCAATAAAACAGAAAAAAGACATACGTGGTATATTCCAACATTGCACACTTCCGTTCCAGATTGTGTTTATCCACTGCTGACTCTTGCTCCATTTCTGCTTCTAGTGCAGTGCTGGTCTCCTTTCCTTGATTACTTTTCTTTGTGCGAGGAAAACGGACAACCCCTAGGCATACAAATAGTTTTGACTACCAGCAGGAGAAACAAGACTATAACCCATCCACACCACTATGGAAAACTAGTGCAACCTCTTCCTTAGGGAGGAAAGTGAACATTTTTACCATCTCGCTATAAAGAGTGCTACTAAGTGACAGAGGTTAATGGCCCTCCAGTTAATTTCCTCTACAAGGTGCTAACTTGCACAAACTGTACTCAGAACAGAAGTATAGGGAGGCTCCTGCTGTTTATAAGTAGAAAATTGCAGCAGTTCAGTGACATTCTAGGCATGGATCCCAGCCCTTAATACGAGATGCAAGCCCTTTATGTTGGAGATATATTTGGGATATAGCACCAGAGTCACATGAAGGTTCACTGAAAATACTGCAATACGAGAAAGCTTTCATAAATATGCGAGCTGGTGAAACAAAATCATTCCTGTATTTTGGATGCCAGAGACATTCAAGGTCTGATCAGCCTATGAAGGTTGTAACAACCACAAAACACGCCACCATTTTGCAGATAACTGCTTTGAAGCAAAAGTAAGCTAAAATTATGAGTAGATTCTTTCTCTTGAATGACTACATTACAGAAAAACAGGAAAGCGTTGTCTGATATTTCAGGTGCTCCCTCTTTCCCACATTATTTTAAAATATGTCCCTGTTGCAGCTCTGTATCCTATTTAAAAATGTAAAAGGACCAAACACATGCCTAATGTTGTGGAAAAGGAAGAGGAATTGAGATACGAATTGAATAAAACATAAGGGTGGTAAGAATGTACAGTTCTACCTACCCAATGGTGTATTAAGGCAGACACATTGCAAATCAAACCAGAAGTTTTCCACATCTTGCATGGTGCTCAGGATGTATAAACGTCTCTCAAATGGGCGACTGCTTTGAGCCAGGTTATAGTGAGGGTCACAGATAGTGGTGTCAACAATCACTGCATTTCTCTTCATATACACAAATACCTGTCAAATAGAGCGTGTGTCAGGCAGGTAAAAATCACTGGAATTGCCTAATTTACAGGACAATCAATTAGTTAAGGAGTGATTAGAACTGCTTAGTCTGCTCTTTTGAGCCAATACTCCCAGAAGAGATAGACAGATGCATTGCAAAATATTCCTAAAATTACTTTGCCAGAGATCCAGAAATTTTACTTCTAGATTGAGAATGAGAGTTTCTTTTTCCCCTTGTGCACCGGGACTATTCCAAGTTTCCAGAGAGTGATTATTTTCTATAAGCCTTCATTCAGAATTTGAGGAATAATTAGATCTGATTCAGGGTCTAATTAATTTTTGTTCTTACAATTCTTGCAGTATGTCACTAGGAATTTGAAGTTTGTATGCACATTTCAAACATGAACACTTTACTCAATTATTTAAAGTAATTAGAAGCTTGAAAACTCATTTATCTCACTGAGCAAATACCAGAGCAAAAGTTAATTTCTCAGAAAATTACCTGATCTTTGTCTTGAAACTTCTCTGTTGGACCAAACTGAACTAGTCCCATATAACATAATCTTTGAAGATTTTCTACCACCGAAAAGATGTACCTCCTGCAGCAGTATTACAAGCATTACAATTAGCACTCATGAAAACAGTAATTACAAAGATACCAGAAAACATGATGTGACAGCCTCAAGTTTCAGGAAACTCTCTTTATAAAAAATATTTGGTTTATAGCATTTCTGTAATGGTCCTCTCTTTGAATCATCAGCCTGTGGAAAACACATGAAACACCAAAGCCCGAACATCCTGTCCTGAAATCAGAAACACTACTATTATTTTAGACAATAACAGAATTTTGTTTCCAAAGAAACAAAAAAAAATGCCAGAAATGCTGGATCTACCAATGAGTCAAGAAGATCAGAACACAGGCAGATTTGCAGACAATTTTGCATTAACAAAAGAAGTGAGAGTGAGACGAAATGACTCGTAAATACGGGCTGACAGAACTTCACGTATGTTCATATAAAGAAGGGGTCAGACCCAAGATCTGTAGTTAAGATTGTATAGAACTATCTGTTCTAAAACTGCTTTTAGTTGCCTGTAAACTGTAGCAAAGCAAAAATTATGGCAATTTCCATGCTATTTATCTACCTTTCTTTAAAAAAAAAAAAAAGAAAAAAAAAAAGAAAAGTAAAATTCTGGAAGTTGCAGGAAACTTTTGCAAGATTTAGTTTCTGAGATAGAATATAGGAAAAATCTACTTTTGCCCACACTTAACTTCACTATTTAAGTTTTTCCATACTGTTACACAGGGCTTGTATTTTGTTAGGAGTGTTTTGTAAGGTTCAGAAAGACCCATCGACAATCTCACAAATAATGATCCAATTTGGTAGTATTAGAAGTTCTGATGAATGGAGAGACAAAAAGGCCACTTGATTCTGTACCACACTGATTTGCAGATAGCTGCAAGGTAGAGTCTGCATTTCAGCAATACAATATGCTCATTACTAATATTTAGGAAGTAATATGTTAGGAATTGTAAACTTCTGTTTAGCAATTGTAAACCAGATTTTTCTGAAAAGAAACCACTGCCACAGGAGAGACCAGCCTGACCACAGATCTTGGCAGCTGGCTCTGTCTAGCACTACTCACTTGCCAAAGACATGTCTTCAGATTTGGAGAACGTGGTAGAAGCCTCCAACCAACCAAGTCCATAGCCATGGCAATGGCTTCTTGGGGTACTATCAGCATGATTAATACAGTAATGGAGTCTGGAATAGTGCTGTGAATCCCACATATTCAAATCACTATGATTTAATGTTGCTTTCTTTCCCTTTCCTCAGTCCAATCTCAACTTCTAAATCTTTTAGATGAGGAATGGAAAAAAAATGGCATATATGCTACTGAGAGTATGTGGGTAGAATCTAAATGGTATGCACGAGAGACTGCAACTAGGGCATGTGGCATCTTCTGAGAGATTTATGAAGGACAGCAGCATTTAGACTCTATTAAATTCTGAATTTAGCAGCAGGAGTGTGTTTTGAACAGAAGCAACAGCCTGTTGAAGAGTTGTGAAGGACAGAGTCTCCCAGTTCTCACAGACTTCCTGACAGCATGCATGAATATTGTTCATTAATTTCTTATTACCTTCTATTTGGGAGAGAAAAATACAATTTTGCACACAGTCCTTAGAAGATTGATGACCCTTGTTTTAGATTACAAAGTTCTCTTTGACACAAACAGAAATAACTGAAAAAACAGTCAGCTGTTCTCCCTAGAGCCAGTAGCTTTGACTCATCTGCTTACCTTTTATAGAGAAGCTGTTGTCGGACTGACCTTGGAAGGAATCTGATCAGCGTGTGCTTTTTCTGAGGATCGTTTAAAAAATCCTCAAGGCCATCAACCTAAAATTATTTTACAAGTTAATCAAAATGTGAAAGATAATTATCCTTTAAAGTATCAAGCTCTCTTATCAGATATGCCCACACAGGTATTTTTGAACAAATACTACTGCTATTGTAAAATAATGGAATAAATGATTCAAGTCCAGTGCAAGGCTACAAAGATGGCTAAAGGACTAGGTAATCTGAACATTTTCAAAAGAGGAAAAGTTAAAAGAGCTGGGACTGTTCAGCCTAGAGAAGACTGAGGGGGAATCATACCAGTGTGTCTAACCATGTGAAGGGAGGATGTAAAGAGGATGGGGCCAAAGTCTTCTTGGTGGTGCCCAGCAACAGGACAACAAGGAACAGGCACAAACTGAAGCACAAGAAATTCTCTCCAAATAAGAAAAAAAGTCTTTTCTTGTGATGGTGACTGAGGACTGGAACAGGTTCCCCAGAGAGATTTCGGAGTCTCCATCCCTGGAGATCATCAGAAGCAACATGCTCTAGGTGACCTTGCTTGAACACTCCGGCTTGGGTTAGATGATCTCCAGGGATCCCTTACAACCTCAAATGTTCTGTGATTCTGTGATATTCATGTTAATCAGCCAGGAAGATTATAAAAAGCACTTTGAAAATATTTCCTGAGGGATTTGCTGAATTACAGGGCTGTACATTTTTATAGTGTGGCTGTGAAAGCAGCTAACCTTTATTTAAAAGGAAATATCAATAACTAAATTTTCTACTCGCTACTGGCTGATATTGTTGAAACAGACTAACAGGGTATGTGTTACTGTTCATAGGAGATACTATCAGATTTTAAACTGAACCAAATATGAAACAAAGAAAAGCACTCTACCTTGTAGCTGACTTGCACTATTTGCACAAAGATGGAGAGGGGCAAGCAGAGCAGAATGTCACTAACAAGAGCCCATCCGAATCCAAATTCTCTGTGAACCGGGAGAGGAGGGACATAGCGCATCCATGTCGCATCATCCACATACACTAGGAACAAGAACATGGACTTAGACTCAGGCAGGGCAAGCCTAGCACTTCATTTGGACACTGGATGTGAGGAAACAGACGCTTGAAACAAGGTCTACCTTTTAATGAATTTTACCGTGAGTGGCTGAAAACCACCAATATTAACATTCTCATCTTCTGAGACACAAGAAGGATGCTTACACTCACCCCATCAAAACCTATTTTTCCCCCAAGATAACCTGTTCCATAGTTTAACTATTCTTACAGTATGAAAAAAGATGCCATTATTTCTTCTTCTACCCCCAACAGTATGAAGAATCATCTATCAACTACTGCTAACACTCCTTTTCACCTGACAGGACACGTTATCCTCTCCGTCTTCTTACATCTTCCTTTTGTATAAGAAATAGAAGTGTTTTCTAGATTAGTTTAATAATACTCTAGACTCTCTCTCCAATCAATTTATCATTCTGAATTCAAAAACCCCTCTCTAATTACTAGCAAATCTCCAGTTTATCACCCACATTTTAAACTTAATTTCATTACCCAAATAATTAGGAAAAATATTAGTTAGGATTGGACCCCCCCAAAAAGCCTCTACATGACATTCAATCTGAGAACAAGCTGTTTATAATTTCTGAAGAGTTTTTTTCCAAGCATCAAGCATCTATGTTCCTACCTTAAAGCATTTTCACTAAAATTATATTCTCACTTACAGGAATGTTACACAGGAGCACAGCAAAATCTGTAGTGAAGCTAGGATGTTCCACCTCTTACCTGTTTCATTAGACAATTCTACTTCAGTCTCTTGTGCAGTGTTCTCAGGATTCACCACAGTTGTCGTAGTTTGTGCAGTCCCATCTGTGCCCTCTGGTTGGGCTTGAAGTGCTGCAGCATTCATGTCCAGCCCTTGCTTGTTGGCTTTTTTCTCACCATCACTGCCTACTTTTTGTCGTGTTCCGTTTAAAGGGTGACCATAAATCAAGTACCAGAGGAACAAGTGGACCATTCTTAAACGGGGCATTTTGGGAAGAAAACCAAGAGAACGCCCAAGCCCTGGAACTGTGAGGAAAGATTAAGTACCAAACAGAAATAAAAAAAATAATTAGAGTAGGTAAAATAGCTGGCTCTGCAAAAATGATGTGAAGGAAACTGGAAGAAAAGGCCAGCAAGTGAAGGTAAATATAAGTTACAAATGGAAGTGAAGCAGTAGTAAATGAAAATACTCCATTTCACAATTGCTGCCTCCTATGTAAGGCACCTCTGCAAAAGAACAAAACCTATATATATATATATATATATATATATCTTACAAGGGCCCCACATCTGAAAGAGACTATTTAGTAATTGATGGAGAAGTGAAAGATGGCCAGAAAGAAAAAAAAAAGTCAAGTGTACCTGTAACAGGGTGGTAATTTTTTAACTGTGTTATGCCCATTTTTTCATCAGTTTTCCTTGCCCGATTATTATTTTCAGCTTTACAAGAACTTTCTTCCGTTTCTCCTGAATCAGGGACGGCCTCTTGCCCCAAGTTTTCGTCATCAGCGTGCTCCTGGGATGTTGGTGTCTGGGGCACTTTAATCCTGAATTAAAACCACACAGCATTTCTGTAGAGCTAAACCAGATACTCATGTCTTATCTAAGTTGCACAGAGATGGCATCACTTAGGCTGGGCACCAAAAGAAATGCAAATTCCCTTTTTCAAAAGGAGGATGGCTTTGAAGTTGATTCCACTAAAGAAGAGGTCCTTTTATGGGTTTATTCTGAAAGATAAACCAAGCAATGGGATTTATCATGCTACTTTTTCTTTTGCTTACTTTGTATTTATTTCCTCCATGTATTTTTGTGTGTTTTAGATGTAGTAAGTCAAGTTCCACACAAAACATATGACCAGTGCTACTTACCTGTTTGCTGTGCTTGAGTTGGATATTCGGAAACGCACCTGCTCAATGGCACTTTTTACAAGGGGATCATTAGGACTCACAGAAGGATGAACGACAAACTCTACCTGTTTAGGGCAGCAGAAAACAGAGGTAGTTATGGTGATACTGGCTCTTAATCTGCTGCATAATTCATCAGAGCTTAACAGCCAATTAAGTCCTCCAAATATTTCAGTAAAGAGGCCCCAAACACTTTGCTAAAGCCAGAGGACACAAAAAGGTGTTTCTATTGCCAGAGTTTGAGCAGTCACCTTTTTACTAATGCCATCTTGAATGACTGTAGTATGATAGAGTCGGAGGAGTCCTTCTCGTGAGAGCCTCTGCACCAGTCGGATGATAGACTTTTTGCAACATTTGGTAGAGACACCTTCTTGCTTCTCTTGATCCATGACCATTTTCTGAAGCCTAAAGATACAAACAGCATCTTGCACTTTAAGCCCAGCAGTGCTGCTAACTGCCCAGCCAGCCCTTCCCTTGCAGTGGCCTGCAGGAGCACGCTCCCCCCAAACCATGATAGCTGGTGCATTTCTTCATATATTATTGTGTAAGTGCCCCAGGCCCTATTTCTGATTTTTTCTTTGAACAACAGTTTTAAACCTGTTGGCAGTACTGAAGAAGATAGCAAAGACTTGAATATCTTAGAAACCTGCTCTTGGACTTTGCTGGATGACCCATGATGATGCTATGCCATAGGAGCAGGCTGCAGTTCCACAACACTTTGCAAGTGGACTACATGACAGAAGTCTCAAAATTATCAAAATGGATGAGAATAAAGCCAAGATCTCTTATTCAATTCCTTTGGAAAGCAACCCAGGAAATCATGTCCTGACATTGAAGATGGGGTGGTGAATCACATTTGCCACAACAGTGTCTAGCTCATTTGGAACCTGGGGCTCCAGGGTTTTAATTTCTCTTTTAATGGGGATTATAAAAGGCTAAAAGATGTTTTAACACTCAGGCCAATACCTCTAGTCCAAGAAAAGTCATGTGAGGGCCTATAACCAGTGCACATAAAATGGAAAAAAAAGTTATCTTTTGAGTCAGCACTAGAATCCTGGTAACCAGTGACAACTGACTGGCATGAAGATAAGAATCTCTACAATTAAAGACAGAATAGCAAAAGTTTTGAAAGAAAGCAGATATAAAATAAAGCCTATGTAATATGAATGTTGGGAAGTGTTGCATCTTGCTACCTAACCCCAGATACTGGCATACTGTAAGGAGGAAAAAAAAAGTCTCTGATCTCTATGGATGGTGGCCCATTTTCAGACAGACTCACGTGAACAAGCTTTCGATGAGCCGGAGGTTCCGGACAGCTTCCACGATGAGATTGCGACGCTTCAGCAGCCGGTACGTCTCATGGGAGCGCTCCACTGCTGTTGCTCGGGATCGCTTTTCCTTCTTTTGGCCACAGATCTTTTCATGCACAGCATGGAGAAAATAAAATTGTGGCCAAATTATTCAATCTGAGCAGCCTATTGTAGCTGCTCATACAGCAGTGCCCAAGCAACTCAGTTTTTGATGTACTTATTTATAACAAACCGTAGTCATCTGGGAATTATTTATCTACCCTTCACAGGCAGGGAACCAAAGCAGAAACTCCGACTTCCACATAGGCAGGAGTAGAGATTTATGCCCTCTGTCTGCCCATGTTCCAACCCCATTGAACTTGAGCATGTTCTGGCACAGAGAGCCAACTGCATTAACGTAGCCCCGAGTCCAGCCCAGCATATCCTGCCTCTCAGAAAGGCATCTCAGGCTCGGCCGTGTCACTGTGAGGCTGCACAGCTCACATGTCTAAGCCCATTTGCACCACCTAGTTTAGGGGAGGTAGATGCACCAGGTGAAAAGCAGCACTTTTGTGCATGGACAAACATAAAGCTACACTGTGCATTAAGTCAACACAAGGAATATGTAGAACGCTAACAACCTAAACCCAGTACCTTCCTAATTAGTGAAATATTTTAGATTAAAACTACACTGCACTCAAAATATGGAAGTGGTTTCCTTAAGCAATTTACCTTTATACAGCTACAGCACACCTAGCATTACTGCTGAGGCAGCACAAGTCTCAGTGTTTCATGTTCAGCATTTTTAGCAGAAAAGCTGCTTTTAGCAAACTACGTTCATCAGAAAGAAATCTCCATGCTTAGAAGAAAAACGGAATCATTACAGATTCTAACAGTGAATATGCATAGAGCCACATGAGTGCACAGAAAAATGGAAAATGGAAAAAAAGCAATTAGTCCCATAGATGACCACAGAATTAATAGCTTGAAGATTTGCTGCAATGTACATTACTGCTCAGACAGCCATACCAACAATAAAATGCTATGCATTAAGATCTTACCTTGGGGTCTTCAAGTTTGACCTCCTCAACCACAGCCACATCCCCATCTTCATCAGCGGAATGAGCACAGGTGGAAAGATTGGGCTCCTGCTTCAGAGCTTCCAAAGCAGAATTCTCCCCTGCGAAGTTGTCTGGTGGCTCATACTCTTCCAGAATACAAGGGGAAGGCAGCTTCTTCCCTACAGACTTCACAGCTGCTGGCTTTGAGCCTAGTTTAAGAGTAAAAGGCCAAAAAATGGACCTTGTAATTGTTCTGCTCTCACAAGCTCCTGCAAATGTTCACTAAAGGCCTTCCTTTGACCACCCATGGTACTGCACTTCAAAGCATTTTGCTACATTTCTCACATATTCTTGTTCCCTGCTGGAAGCAGTGATTGGATCATATATGACTGCACACAGCCTCCAAAAGATTAAAAAAAAAAAGAAAAAAGAAAATAAAAGCCTTCAAATTATGCTCTTGTCCAAGCAGCCTACAGAGACAGACAGCCAGGAAGGCCCAGATTGGCTTAGCCAGGAACTACTGTCTGAAGTAAGGGGAGTTTCTGTCTCACAGATTCTTGAGCTCTGCCAGAAACCTGATAGGAAGGGTTCTTACTCAAAGCAGAATGAGAAAAAGGATTTGGAATTACTGCAAAAAACACCTGCATCAGACATGGAGATCTGTTTTCCTGTCTTCCCTGGACTTCACTAATGAAGTGGCAGGAATGTGCCAAGGGTTACAATAAACCATCATATTCCCTCCAAAGTGTCCTCTAAAGGTAGGCAGCTCTTACATAAAGAGGCTCTGAATCTCTCACAAGAAACATGAAGCAATCTGCTTTGTGAGACAGATTGTGTTACAATATGCTCAGATCATGAAGCTGAGGGTCGAGTCCCAACCTCCTGCTTATGTTGTTAGTTACCATCTTATCTGGTCTCAAGACAAGTACATGTATTCATTGCACTTAAAGGTTTGTGTCAAATAACACTTGCTTACATATACTTGCTTTGTATAAATGCAAAATAGAAAGATCAGTCTCATACATTTTCAACTGAAAAAAATAAATATTTGGATGAGAGGGGAAAATTTTAGATCCATTTCAAGAGGGGGAAAAAAAGGCTTGCCAGCACCTGTATTACTTCCTGCACCTAAAACATTTGCATATCGAATGGAATAAACTAGTGCATTTTAATGAGAAGCACAGCTTCTATGTTCCTAGTGAAGAAGACATAAAACACGTTTCTAAAGCTATGAAGCCTGTCCAGACCCTCTCTACAGTCTTCAAGGACTCTGTAAGCCAAAGCTCTACAACGATAGTGCTGTCTAATGGACATAACCTAAGCTGTAAAACACTTCGAAAAACAGGGCCTGCCAGTATCTCTGACCCTCTGCTGAATCATCTCGGCTCTTCAAGCCACCTAAAAATTTTCTTATTTATTTTCTTATATCTAAATTATTGTTAAGGAGGGGCAGGTGTGTTTTCCCAGCAATCAGTGATAACTAGAAGGTTGCTCTGGCACACACAGAGACATTGAAACACACTTCTGCCCTGAATCACCTGAGTTATCCCACCTGCAGTATTCCAAAGCATAGCAAGGTTTGGATAAAGAAAACAACTCAAAAGCAAGGAAACACTGGAATAGACATAAATAAATACAAGACCAAACTAAAACTTAATGGAAAGGAATAGCATAGGAAATTTAGAAAAAGATCTATCAGAAAAATGCAGGATTCTCTCCAAATCTCCATGATCTACCTTTAGTTGGTGTTGACTGACTGGGACCACCTTGGAAACTTAATTTCAACAGAGAACTTGCGTTGGCCTTCTGACCTTTTCCCTTCTTCTTGCTGTATTTCACCTCGTCATTGTCAGACTCTGAGAGAAAGGTGTCGTCTTCTCCAGGAGACACATCTTCCACAGGGGGGGAATCTTCTGGCACTAGACCCAGAGTGACTGTAGCCAACTGCTCACTCCGAGCCTTCTCTCTCTCAAACTGACGGTTTAGATCGCTCTCTTCTGCAAAAATGTATGAAATATATTTTGTTGTCCTCTGCCGACCTTCATCCTCCATAAAACCCTAAAGAATGAGACAAACATTATTTTAATACCTTTCTTCTCCATTCTTGCATCTGTCCTCCAGTGTGTTGCACTGTCCTCCAGTGTCAGCAGTGGGAAAACTTTCCAACTGTTCTCAGCTCTACCAAAGGAAAATGGCAAGTATTGAGCCTGTGTGCTGGGGGCTGTGTTAGAAAGGACAAGTAAAGACTCCTCTGCTCAACTGAAGTCATAATTTCTTTTATCCCAGCAAAACTCTTTCACTTGTAATTGTCAAATCCCTTCCATTTCTGTTTTACGAGGTTAACAAAGTTTTAATTCATTATCGCAGTAATCCCATCATAATTCCAGTTTTAAAAAGTAACTGAATTTGTTTTTGGCATTACCTTGACAACTTTGTATCTCTCCAGAAGACGACAGAGCATTCGTGCTTCTAACTTCCCCACATTCATAGCCATTCGAATTTCTGCCTGAGAAATACCTTTGGTTCCCCTGCTTTCAACTATTTTAGAAAGGAAGAACAGAAAACACATCAGAAATAATGTGATTGAACTATAAATGCATACATTTGCATATATACTCACTTTGAGTATCTGTCATTAAGTTAAACTTGTCTTAAAACTATATAATTTGGAAACATATGCCAGAATATGAACCAAAGAAAACCAAAAGCAAAAGGCAACTAAAGAATTTTCATAGGAACATCCAATATACAGTCAAACACTGAGGTTTTTTTAGGGTTATTTTGCAGGGGAAAAAAAAATCTATTATATTGTATTTAAAAAACTGGTAGAAGCGAATTTAAGAGACTTTGCTGTTATGGTCGACCATGATAAGTGAAGGTGAGAGCTTAAGATTAAAGGCTGGAGTGAATGTTTCCCCTGACAGCTTTCTACTGTCAGATATCTGGGTTTTTTCCCATTAGCCCAAGTGAAAGACAAAACAAAACAGAAAAATCCAGCAACATGAACTGTGTTTTGTTTTTTTTAAAGACAAATTAGCTTGCAAAGTATTTTTAAAAAGTATTAAGTTTTTTTCTGCATGTAAAGGAGCAAGACACAAAAAGATGAACTAGTACTGGAAATACTTCATGCTAAAAGATTTTAACACCTGCATGTTTTCTGAATTCCAATAACAAGCTGATGTTTTGAATCAAAGAAATCTTGCTAAAGATTTAGCATCATGTTCCTCTCTAAGGAGATGCTGGGAAGCCTAACAACCATGACTGAGCTCTTTCACAGCCCCGGTGTCATGCCAAAATAGTGACAAGGGAGGCCCAGCTCTCATCAACACTGGCTTGCTGTAGCTTGAGGTTTCTGATTATCCAAACAGTTGCCCCAGAAGGTAGCAGAAAAGTATTTTGCCCTTCTTAAACAGAGACACATATACACAGAATGTTACTGCATCACCTACTTAACTCGTAAGCTTGGGTAAGCATATCCCTTTCACAAACAATATCCACAGGCGGAACAGCTTTTGTGATGATCTCTTCTTCATCATCATCATGATAATCTTCCATTTTCTTTCGAAATTCCTTTAGCAATTTAAGGCAACGGACCATGACATCAGTCCCTGTAAATATGAACATTAGCATTAACAACCCTGAATAAAATTGGGAGGGGGGATGGAGAGAGGGAGGAAAAGGAGGAGTAGAAACTCCAAATCATTTCATTTCTTTCATAAGTACTAAAAAGAAGTAGAGCAAAGGGGAACAAAAGGCTGATTTCCAGAAAAGGACTGCAACAGTTCTTCCACATACATGAATCTGTCAAAATACTGAATAGTAGAATTTTTGAGATGCTCCAAAAACCTTTACACCTCTATCCATATTTGGGGTGCCCAATACAAAGATCTATGACAGGAATGGAAAAATTCTGCTGAATTAAGAGAAATATCTGTAAAAATCAATTAATAAAATGAGTAAGTGTTGCTCTACAGAGTTCCATCTCCAGAACACTGACCTGACTGTGAGGACCCTCATGTGCACTGTCTTTCCTCAGCACCTTACCAAAGCAGACACTGCTTGGTGGGCCCTGCTGGGTGCTGCCCCCAGTTACCAACATTTAGAAGTCCTGGGTCCTGAGGGAGCTCTCTGTGCATCTGTCTTGCATCCTAACGACTTCTCCAGTGTCTCAGCTATATTAATGAAGCTCTCTGTGCAGCTATGCATGAAAAGCTAAATTTACAGATTTCTCACCCCAAATCCTAAACTATTTTCTGCACTTAGGGAATGGCCACAATTGATAACACATGATGGACTAGAAGTGTAAGCAGTGAAAACAGAGAAAGCTTTCTATTTGCAATATGATTCAATTACACATCTTAAGCAAGGTACCATGCACTAACTGTGCAGCAGCAACCCTCCATGGGCTTTACCCTCCTGGGAATCTACAGAATAGGGGGACAGATGACTTTGGGCTAGCTGTAGTGATCCTCCTTGCTAATACAAGAATGAGTCGGTATCATCAGTGCCATTCAACAGCTGCTGAAGGCTTTAGAGACCAGTGTTCAAGGTAAGCCAACACTGGGCTGCTGTACATTGCCAGCTGGTAAAGAGCAGCAATTCAGTAGCTACTGCAGAAGCAGCCAATTCATCTTGCAGCAGTGGATGTGAAGCTCTAGAGCCATCTCTGCTCCTCTGGCAGCTGTGATAAATGCCAGCAAAAGGCTTCAGTTGAAAATCTTTTTCATTAAGGTTTCAGTTAATGAATTCTATGTTTGTATATGATCAGTTGCTGAAGCCGAGCTGACATGAAGTTAATCCACAGCAACTTAATCATGTGACAAAACTCCAGGACAGATGCTCCTATTATTTTTTCCACAATCTGAATTCTTTTGCTGCCAGATACTGTTTAGAGTAGTAATAAGGCTCTGACAATCTGGCAGGGGCTTTAGGCACTGTTACAAGGTCCTCTGTGTTTCTACACCCCATTAGTTTTCACTTCAAGCAGTACTTGAAAAAGCATTTCTTTTTACTTTAGCTCCTGCTGCTCTATAATGTGCTTCCCATGGCAGATGCTCTGGCTCCATCCTCATTGGGTCCTATATATTTCTGTCTACTTTCCTGTATAATTCCAGAGTAAAGAATCTTGAACTCTGATGACGCTTAGCCATTATTATTTCATCCTAGTTCAACATCTAGCTTTTCAGGCATTTGGTGAATTTTAGCTTTTACATGAATAAGTTAAGATGGAAAAATCATTCAAGTTAAAAATTCATCCGTTCATATTTCTACCTATTTTAAGCAGTAAATGCAGCTGCCATTGTGCCAACATATAAAGCATCTAGTGTCTTGTGTATTGCCACCAAGTTTATAAATAGACTTACTGTATTTCCTTGTTTTCTAATTAGAAACTCAAATTGGAAGATTTGTTTTTATTACTGATTAGAAATCCTATCTTTTTCATGTGGTCTAGTCTTCTGGGGTTTATCTGCAAATGTCTTGAGTTCATTAGAGCAGCTCTGACACTGCCTGCAGGAAGGGCAAGTATAAACAAACATAACCTGGCATAATAGGACTTGAGGACAGTACAGCAGAGGAGCTAGGTTTTTGTTCATGATGATGACAAACAGCAGCTAAGTGGCTAAAGGTAACTTTGTATGACAAGCTACTGTGAGTCGAGACTGTTGCTTAAACCAGAAATATATTAACTCTGTACAATACATATTTTATAAAAGTTTGATGATAATTTTATCATATCCTGATTCATTCTGGAATGTCTTTGAAGACCTGCAATGCCTTCCTGAAACTCAACTTGTTATGGGAATTTTGCTCTGTACCTCACCCTCAGACATTTTTAGGGGATGGAGGTGTGTGTTTTATAACAAATGGTTTTCCTGAGCAAACACCGCTCATACCTAATGGAACTCCTTCAGGCACTTCTTTAAGTACTCAGTACAGCTCAGGAGAATTCTCACTGTACCTGGCTACATACTGTAGCTACTTTAGGCCATTGCTTTCCTTGTTCACAATATAATTTATCTGCTCAGATATTTCCTTCACTCATAATAAAGAGATTTAAAATAATCATCTTATCAGGGGCCTTAATCTATCCTCCCTGTAATTACACTCACTTTCTTCTTTTCAAAATTCCCATGTTTTGTTGACTCTTTCACTTCTTCCTTCATGATGCAAAAAATCTTCCTTTATGATCATTTTACTGGTGAGAACTGTCTTGCTTGTGATAAGAAATAATATACTTTTGCACAAACAGTTCACTGCATTTCTGAAAAACAGATACTCAGTTCAAGTAGACTGTTACAGGTTTATTAAGACATTTCTCTAAATAACTGTGAAGAGTTAAGCTTTCACTTAAGTATGTCATAATTCAAGATTTGAAGCTTATATATTAAATAGAATATTTGGAATTACATGACAAGCAGGAATACGGTTCCTTACCTTTCTTTGTCTTGTGGGGTCCCCCATCAGGGTGTATATCTTGTAAAGGGATAGATATTACCTTGGCTAGGCCAGCATTCATCATGTATTGATACAGGCGCTTGAAAGTTCTTTCACAAAGACCCTAAAGCAAAGAGCAATAACAAAAGTCACTGCTGTAGTCCCAAACATTGTATTTCAGGAAATCCGTAGAACTATACTTTGATCTTCACACAAAAACAGACATAAAAATCACTGGCTCAAGTTGCTCCCTATCTTCATGATCTTTTTCTACAAAAAGTCTCTATTCTTTATGTGATTAATACCAGAGACATTCACAGTGCTGTTTTTAGAAACAGTATTTTGGGACAGTGTAACAAAAGAAGGATCTTTCAAACCTGCTAGCGCAAACACCAGGCAGAGGTAGAGGTGCTTCTTCATGCTGTTACGTCTGAGACTTCCTTGCTGTGTCCTCCAAGGAAGCAGTAGCGATCCAATACAAGAACAGCACAAGGATATTACTGCCTGGATGTGGCAAAAAAATCTGGTTCTGTGACAGACTTCTTTCTGAAGCTGTGAACTGAATAGAAAGCCTTCCTTATGACATGCCAGCCTTCCAGGAGAGTAACTTGATCTAGAACAATAGACTAGCTGTCCATGGGATATTTATTTTTTAAAGTTTCCATAAACTAGCAGGTTCCTAAGATCTTTCTTTTGATGGAATCTTTCCATCCCTAAAATATTGTGCAAGGTTAGAAACAGGCAGTATGAATGTCTCACTTAGATAGTAATCATTTAGATTACAAGTGTGAAAATTTGGAAAAAGAAATCACAAGTCTTACCAATTCTTCCCTCAAGTTTCCTAATGTTTCCATCTGGTTTGAACGAGTACTTAGCATACTTGAGAGCTTCTCCATCAGAATATCATATTTACTCCGCCTAATCAAGAAAATAAAATTATTTATCATATAGGCAAGGGTATAACTTTAAAAACACGAGGTGTATTTTATCACGAAATATTAGTCACTAGTGGATATAACCTGATAAATGTTATTAAATTGTTTTAGAAATTACGCTTATTTTTTTCTTGCTGTGAATAGATTTCTAACATGATCTAAGAATGAGTTCAATAGCAGATGGGAGAAATTTGTCACTAAGAGAACCAGACTGAGAGAACAGTAACAAAGTCCAGTCTGTTACTTCCTTGGCAAGCCACGGCAGCACAAGTTCAATCATGCACAAGAAAGAAAGAAAAAAAATATTACAAATGTGTTTGAAGTAGGAACACCCAAAAGCAACAGAACGATCAAAGCTATAGTGACAACAGTAAGGCTTATGTAGACAGGTGTCAGGCATTGGAATATTTCTTACAGCTGAAAGGTAAGTTTCTATCATCCAGCATCTGGAAGAGGATTTAATACAGAAATCAAGAGGCAAGACCAGGGAAGTTCATGGTTCTGCGACATGAGGGCAACCTTTCATCATACTAAAAGGTCACAGTATATGCTGGAGATATTATAAAAATCTGAGTGGCACATACCTATCGACATGAAAACGAGTCAGAAGCAAGAGAATGGAGTGCTGCTGTGCTCCACTTGGTAGTCTTATGACATGGGACTGCATTGTTATGAGACCATTTCTGTCCAATACTCTTCTGTGATAATGAATTTTTCCAGCATCCACCCTAAAAAAAGATGGTAAGATATTTATAGTAATGGGAGATTTTGCAAATCAACCTTCATCTCAGTTAACTATGGTATTGAGACACATATTCTTTCAACTTTTAAAGTGATGGAAGTGCCAAAACTGAGACAGCCTGCAAACTTTATTCACTCTATGAAGCGTTTTCTATTACATTCACTGATTTCCTGCTCTCTGAACTAGACAAATGCCCTTATATAGAGAGAGTAAATTCATTAATGAATTAAGCTTAAATTGTTTCAGAATGGAGGATGAGAATTACACAACAATAAAGTCTTCTAGGTAAGTGAGTTGGACACAGCCTTGTAAACTTGATGTTATTCTTTCTTTAAAATTAAGTTTTTATACAATGATAAACAAGCCATTTAAAAAGAAGCTTTTTCAGAGCAGCTATTAAGTGGGAACTCTATTTTTAGGCACATAATTTAAGGCATTATGACCTAGATTCTGCCATAGCAACAGTAGGAAAATTATTACCTCTGCACCTACAATGCTGATAAGACTGCAAATAGAATATAGAACCCAATACAGTTCTCTGGAAAATACTATGGAGAGACATTTTTACAGCTTTCCTCTAAACTATGTGCTGGAAAACAAGCTTTAGTATTCAATATATGAAAAAATATAATTAATTCTTTTTTCAACACAGGAGATTTGGCAGTGATTTTAATCAGTGCTAATGGATAATCAATGTATAGAAGTGAGTGCCTCTCAAAATCTGATTTTTCTATAGCATTAAGAATGGACCTATTTCTACAGAGAATTTACAGCATGATCTGGGTATTTTGCCTCTTGTCCTTTGAAACAAAAAGCAGGGCACTGGCTGTAATGACCTGGACATGACTTGCATAATGAATTCCCTCCGATTCAGGCAATGCTGAGCATGAGCAGTAGCTTAATTCCTTCTGTCCTCTGCACTGTATTCAGATATCTGAGAACTGAAACCCTTTAAAGCTTCTAGCCTTCTACAATGCACTTGCATTTAGACTCACACGACCATACTGGTTAAAATAGATCTCTAGGGCTCTCTAGTCCAATCGTTTCTTGGGTTCTAATTTAGCTGTTGCCTCTCTATCCGTGTGCGCCTCTGAGCAAAGTCTGGCTCTGTCTCCTCCACATCCTCTGATTAGTTAGTTTAATATAAGACTGCCTCTTAGCTTACCCTTCCTCAGCTGAATGAATAATTGCATTTTATTCAGAAAGTCAGGTAGGACCAGTAACCTTTAAATTCTATGAAAATAATAAAACAGAAGGCTGATCTTGACAGATTGACTTCAGAAAAATAGGTAAACAAGACTCTGTAAGCCAGAACAATTTTGTTTCAGTGAAGTGTTTATGTAGCAGCCAATTACCCCCAAATCACACCTGCAGTGACAAGAACAGCTTATGTTGAATACACATGTAGCAAAGTCCAGTGAAGGGCCACTACAATGATTAAGGGCTGAGAGGCAGATTGTTTAGCATGGGGAAGAAAAGTCTAAGAGGGGATTTTATCAAAATGAATAAACACCTGATAGGAGGGAGTAAGGAGGACAGAATCAGACTCTTCTCCATGATATCTAGTGAAAGGGATAGAGGTGATTCACACAAGATACTCCTTTTTATTTTCTTAAGAGAACTTTTTACTGCAAAAGTGGGTGAATACCTGAACAAGCTAACTCAGACCACCAGATTGGTGAAACATCAACAAATAGTGCTTTGTTTTGTTTTGTTTTTCCCCTCTGAGCTTACTTAGCAAAGACACTCTCCAGGAGTGCTTGTTTAGTAGAGCAAGGAAGCACAGAGGTGCAGTGGGCACGGGGCTGGAATGGGCACTCCAGGGCTATGGCCAGCAGAGGGGCACAGAAGAACCTGGCTCCAGGTTGTTCTTGGTGGTCCTGGAGGCTGAGGCTCCTTGGCCAGAGGAGCTGGGCCTCAGCCAACAATAATGCTGGTAGTTTAAAAGCCACATATATTTCATCCCCAGAAGTAACAAATCCTTAACGGTGATGCTGATGCTCTGCAGCACTGCCACACAAAACCAAGGATTCCCTAAGAGGTGGTGTCATGCTCTTCCACAGCTAAATGTGA